CAGACACCTGCACCGCAGAACTTCGAGGCATGTTGCAAACATAGTCCACGTCAGAGCACTGCTCTCCTCCAGCTATGTTCTGATGTGCCTAAATGTTTTCTTTTATTAGGCACATTGCCCTTCAGCTTTCTGAAGCGCTACCTTGATGAGTCTAGCGATAACAGAAGATCTTGGTGATGGCCCAAATTATAGGAACATGTTGTTTGTGACTGCACCATTAGTCAGGGTGCACTTCATTAGAGCTAAGAGGATAATTAAGCAATATGGCAATCCAGAGCATGTTTTACAAGTCCCACACATGTCTTTGGCAGGACAGGGAGGAGTTAGTTTGTGGGCTAAGTAACTCCAATGACCTCTGGTGACTCAAAGAAAATATTCATGACCCTGCAAAGCAGAACATCTTAGCAATAATAAATGTATAATTGCAAAGCCAAACATCTAATGTGCATTTAAATAGTTGTACTGCAAGGTCCACTGACCTACAGCCTAGACAAGTCCTTGTGCTGAGCTCCCAGGGGCCCGCACACATCTGTGGTCAGGGCTTTTGGGTTGCACCTGGGCAGGCTCAGACCTCCGATCTTGGGGCTTTCACATGAGTTTTCCAGCATTGTTTGGTTTCTTTGTTTGACTGATCAGCTGTCTTTTCAGATCAAAGTGTCCCACCCTCATCAGCTCTGTTGCCTTGGGCTCGTCTGTGCAAACTCCCTGTGCTATGCTGGTGCTCCACGTCCTCTCACTGCTGTGTCCAACCCAAGCCCCTCCTCCACAGATGAACACATGTTCTTCTTCTGCTTTAGATTCATTTTGCCCCAGCATCAAAATACATCCTGGACATTCAACAGAGAAACTTCCAGAAAGATCTCTCTTCTGGAGTGCCCATATAGTTCTCAGTGAGGTAGAGACCTACTCAACACTTGCATAACACCACAGCACTCTAGGAGATGCTTTGTACTTTCACCTCCTTACCTTATCATAATGCTTCTCAAAAGTCAGCTTCTTGAACAATGACTTAGGTGCCTCCCCTCCCTTTCCTCATCTCCCTCAATAAACCAGATTAATACTTTTTGGTTTTGTGGGGTTTTTTTGATTTTGTTTTTCACTGCTGAAACTGCCTCTGCACACTTGCATGAGGTACAAACTGTATCCCAGATGTTTTTGGTCACTCTGTTGGGTCATCATCCTGAATTTATGACTAATTTTCTCAGTTGTCTGAGACACTAAAATTTCCCAGCCCAAGAAAACACGTCTGGGATTCTTCTTATTCCTCCTGTGACACCAGTCAATCAAAAGCAGTAGACATCTCTGGCCCCTCATGCAGTAAGACAACTTTCATGGCATAGGTCATGGAAACAGAGCCTGGATGAAGATGTGACAAACCTGGAGCAAGGCTACCTACAAATACAGGACAGTATGTGCTTTCTCCAAGCTCTGCTTGCCATGTGCTTAAGCAACTAAGCTGAAACTTTTTTAGGCTATCAGGGTGTAAGCAATTCCTCCCCTTACATCCTTACCAAGAGGTAAAAAAAAAAAAGGAGGGGTGGGCCAGTGTTTGTGTATTTTTGTGCATTTTTAGGAAATCACATGAAGGAGACAATCACAGAGAAGCAGTCATGTGTACAACTACATGTACCTGGTGCAACATCAATCAACTAGAAATTAACACAAATGGGCCACAATAGCTAAGCTCAGTACATATCTGAATACCCAAATCTCACATCTAGACACAGAAAGAATGAGTTAATATCTCTCCCAATGAATTATGAGCATCATGGTTTGCTCCCAGTTCAGACTGCAGATCAAGAGTGCTCTGGAAATTCGATCTCATCATGTGCTGTCAAATCAGTTATTCAGCACACACTGCTGAGAGAAGCTTTCTAGATACATTTATTTAATTACCAGCAGTTCTCAGCAGTGTTTTTATTCAAAGTACCTGCCTGTCACTATCGGGTCCTGTTCTCAAATAGTTATGTACATCCTCAACTGTTGCTGCAGAAATCTGTTAGACTTCTATAGACCAGCTTTTACATTCAGGCAAGGAATTTATA